TCGTTCGAATTATTTCAAGTTTTCCGTAATTTTGCGGTTGATGTATTTGATCCATTTATATCTAATAAACACAATCTCTCATTCTATTATGATTGAATATCGGAAGCAGATATGGAAAAAAGTAAAAGTGAAAGAAGTGAAAAAATGATTCGGGATCAACGACGAAAATTAAATGGATTATAAATTCTGCTAAAGGTTTAATTGATAATATCGAGTCGAGTCGAAAGTATACATTTTGTTGTTGATCGCATATATGAAGGGTCACGACATTGAGGTTGATCAGGAATCAATAGATAATGTAGCTTGTTTATTAAAAAATGTTTTACTTTACAGCGACCAAAACAAGCGGAATGGTAGTTTTTTAAGCAGGAACCTTGTCAATCTGGACGAAATGGGAAACCATGGTTTGATACAAATTGTGGACAGTTCAGGGCTCAGTATTTCCATCTAAAACAAATCTAATAGGAAGATTGACAAATCTGAAAGTATTGAAAAGGAATATACTAAAGTTTCAAAAAATGTTAAAAAAAAGTTATTCGTTCAAAACAACTTTGATATGAAAATCCACAGTGATTTAAGAAATCTTAAAAGCAACCAGCGACGAGCATAATGGTAAATTATTAATTCAGCTAACGGTTTAAGTAAAGAAAAATTGAAATTCATTCTCTTGAAGAACACTTTCGTCGTCTGAGCCAAACTCATAGAGATAATGGAGACATATTTGAACCTGACTAATTTATTCGAACACTCCATGTATCAATCGTTCTATAAGCAGGGAAGACAAAAATATATCAAATAAATAGGCTAAAAAAGGTAAAGCACATGGCGATGGTTTAGTTCTAAACGAAATTTTGAATTGTAGCACAAATTCTGTTTTATCAGTAATCGTTAGGTTATTTAACATTGTATTTGAAAGTGGAATTGTACCATCGGAATGGACAATAGAGTTAATTCACCTTCTTCATCAGAAGAAAGGAAATCCTAGTGATCACAACATTATATAGGAATAACGTTGCTGAGTTGACTTTATAGCAAGCTGTTTACAACAATTTCCAATGAGTGACTTTCGTCTTAACTCGAAGAAAACGAATAGCTGGTTTTTGAAATGGTCATTCAACCCTTGATCATATTTTTTTTCTTCCATTCAGTGATCGATTTTTATCTGTCTTCAACAGAGAGGGTTTATTGTGCATTTATTGACTCCATTTGGTTGACATGAGTTCTCTTTGGAATAAATTACTGGAGGAGTAAATGTTCTACCTGACAAAATTGATGTACCTGCGTATCAAAACGGTATAGATGTACATCTCGGGCTTTGTACATTAGTGTATGCAGACGAAACAACAGTTCATGCACAAATTGAAAGCGATCTTCAACTTGCTTTTGATGCGGTATCTGATTATTGTTATAATAAAATGGTTTCTTCAAGTCAACACAGCTGAAATCAAAGTTGTTGTATTTTCTTGTGGTAAAGTTCGAAAGATCCCTACATTTAAATTTGATGACGATATCGTAGAAGTTGTTGATGAGTACGTCTATCGTGGAACTACTTTTAACTACAACGACAAATTTCGTAAAGCACAAATTAAGCAACTCAATCAAGCTAGACGAGCAATATAGAAATTTTCTAAAACTTACTAATTGCACTTACCTACTGATAACCTCTTGGAATTATTTGATCAACTTGTGTTGCCTATACTGCTCTATGTAAGTGAGATATGGGGATTTGAAGTGCTACATGATCTTGCATTTTCCACATTAAACTTTGTAAGCAAGTCCTTTCTATGAGCAAAACAACTGCAAATTGTATGGTACTTGGTGAATTGGGGAGGCTGAAACTTGAGAAATATATCGAAAGCAGAATGAAAAACATAGTGTACATTATGGACAAGATAAACTTTCTTGTGAGCTGTACATTATCTTAAAATTACTCTTTGAGCAGAATATCTATCAGGCACCTTGGTTGAAAAAAATTCACGCTGACTCTGGAAAATATAGGGATGTCTAATTTATGGATGAAAATAGTTAAAGGACGTTCTTGTTTCATGTACGCATGCTTTTTCGGAACCCGGCGAGCAGTTAGTTATTTTTGTTGACGTTTTGTTGATATATGTGCATGCACATGTGCGTGAACATGCTGCTAAAATAGATGGGGCGCTGGCGTAAATTGATTCGTTTGATTTTACATTAATAATAAGTTTAAAAAAAAAAAAAATCCAAATTAATATATATCTCTATGATAATATCACTAACTGCACTGACACTGTCTGCCGAATTCAAATACAAAGCGCGCGCCAGCAGCTAAAAAGCAGTTACGCAATAAGTCTTCACTTCCGGCCGGGGCTTGCCACAGCGGCACATGCGAGAAGCGGCGGTTTCACATTTGTTAACATATTAAAGGGCAAATTCTTCGGTATTTTCATCAGTGTGACGCCAATAGAAGGGCTATGAAAGGGGTATAGGGGTAGAGAACGATTTAGATGCCGATGAAATGAAAAAAATAGAATAAGAGAAAAAATTACCTTCTGTCGAGTGTATACATCATTTGTACTTTTACCTTATGTATAAATACTTTGGCACAAATTCGCACAAGCCGTCCACCGTCGGCAGCAGAACCATTGTCTAGATGCTGAACAGGCTTTGACAAGTAGCAGAAAAGAAGTAGAAGAAGAAGTATAGATGCAGGCAAGATATCAAATTAGAAAAAAGATTAAGGAGAAAGACAGTTTTCCGTCGAATGTATGCCTCACAGCACTGCGGGAGTTCCAAAGAATTTAAAATATAAGTCTCTCAAAAAACCTCAAAGAAAGACTTCTTACTTAAAAGTCAATCAGTGAAAAAAAATCTTTACCTCCAAAGGTCTCTGTTGAAATTGAGCTTCGTTTTTCTTCTTTTCAATGCAGGTCTCACCATATCCCTCCCCCTCTTTCTGTATCTCTCTACCCCTCTTTTTTATCTATTCTATATTTTCATTTTTTCTAGTAAATACGAGATTGGTTTCTGATTAAATGGTTCTATTGATCAAATGACATTTGGGTAAAAAGTAGGGATGACATACTCAAGGAAACATCTTTCTCATCAGTAATTGAAACTTTAGAAATTCGCAGAGGTTGTATTTCAATAGAGAAAAAAAATAATCAATAAAGGTTCATCATTTTTTTTAATCAGCTTTAGCCTACTCTCTCATCATGTAGATGTTCAATTCTTCTATCATGTCTAACAGGGGCGGATCCAGGATTTTGCAAAGGGTGGGGGGGGGGGGGGGGTCGAAATGTGCCAAATTGCGAGAGCAAAGCCATTACGGCGTGGCGTCCGGAGCCGCCTTAAGGGTTTCGGAAAAATTTTGAACCTTAAAATGCTTTATGGAAAATTCTGAATGCGTAAACTGTACATTTATGTGAAAATTTCTTCGTCTTTTCTTGCATTTCTTCCAAAAGTCAATGGCAAAGTTTTAAGCAATTCTATTTTCCACAAAAAAAAAAAGGGGGGGGGGCTCGAAATGTACCAAGCAGGAAAATGGTGAAGGCAAGTTGTGGCGCCTACGCTGTAAACGTGCCCGATCGCCCTGCTAGAGGGGTCTGGGAGCAGTTTCTGTAATCTACAGCATATTAAGTTACCCCAAATGTGGTCACACAAATAATCATTTTGCAGAATGTTCTTGCTAGTCTTTTCAGCAATATAAATGTAATGCATCTCTTTTTTTTTTTAGATGACATGAATTATTTCATAGATATATTGACTGCTATGAGAGGCATCGCCGTTTCTATAGGCTCAAGGGGACGTTACATCCTGATATGACCCCTCGGCGTGCTATGAGAGGCATCGCTGTTTCTATAAGCTCAAGGGTACGTTACATCCCGATATGACCCCTCGGCGCGCCGGGTCATATCAGGATGTAACGTCCAAGAGAGCCAGTATAGAAACAGAAATGTTTCGAATATTAAAGCTGTCGATATATCTTTTATATACCTAATTCACAAACAAATCTAAAAACAATTCTTACCTTATCCATTTCTCCAGTAAAGACTGGTTAAACATCACAGAAAAGATTTTCGCTGGAAAGTTGCTTGAATGTTACGATCATTCGGGAATCTTACACAAAAAAGTTCTATATGGTATCCGCGCTCGCACAATGAAACTTTTTACATGTAAACCAATGGTGATCTCAGCAAAAATGTATTTATGCGGCCCGTTACCTGGGGAAACGGGCATCTTTGAAGAAAAAAAATATTGCCCTGTAGGCGGGTATACGGGAATCTTTAAAAAAAACTATGGACCGGTAGACGAGCATGGCTAAAACCACGACTCCGATTTTGACCAATCAGATGACTAGATTTATTCAACATACTAAAGAGAGGTATATAACATATTGTATTTTGTGAAAAGATGTCGCTTAGGACAATAATTTAGTGTTTTCCCCTTGGCCACAACACTCTTTCCTCCCCGTGGAGTCCAGAGTACGCTCGTTCTTGCTTGACAAATCCCTGATGAAGCCATTACAAGTGTTTCTCTATTATATGTTTTCTTTAATGGATTTTCTTGCAATATGCGCCACGATGGTTTTGTTGAGCGAACAAAATTTCAATAAGATGAGAAAACGGTATTGTCACCTCTAAAAGAACATTGAATCGGTAATCAAAATGAAATTTCTCCCTGTCAATTTCATATGAACACGCGAATGTGTTTCAAGGACTGAAACATAATATGTAGGTTGAGTTCGTTCAATATGTCGCTGTCGATAACATCTCTTTTTAGAAACTGCTTTTCGCACTGGATATGCGGGCTTTGAAAAGAGATTGTAAAATTTGAATAAGTAGTGATTGCCAATTTCATTTCTGTAACTTGCTGTTGCCATTTAACCCTCCGCAGCTTTACTTAATTCTACGTCTCGCTTCCGATTCGTTGAGGAAAATAGCATGTAAATATGACTGTATATAACCTTCTGCTTTTCGTTAAGAGAAATATTCACAGACAAATCTGTTTGAGGTGCAACATTGATCATGGCCGATATTTCTAATAGCACGCAGTCCTACTCAGCGGACATGTTTTGGACTGACATCCAGAATGCAAGTGAATACTTGAATGTAACAACTCATTCTTTGGATCCCTCTGGAACAACTCCACGTAGTCTGAAGAGTCTCATCTTCATCGCTGTCTTTTTCACGCTCATTGTACTTGCCAACATCATCAGTCTTGGCGCATTCTTAGTAGAAAAACGTCTCCGTACCTACAACAATTACTTTATCATAAATCTCACCATATTGGATCTGCTGATTGGCATTGGACTGGGAATTGACATAGAGCACTGGTACATCTACCGATACCCGTTTTCTCAAAATGCCTGTAAGGTCATAACTGGGATCTTCAGCGGACTCGTCAATGCTTCTAACATCAATGTGGTTGTGATATGTGCCGATCGACATCAAGCGGTCTATGATCCCATCAATCATTTTATCTCTCGATCAAAGCGCAAGGCTATCATCATCAACTCTCTGCCATGGGTGATTGGACTCTCGTTCTGGATTGGGTACGTTACAGTGTGGGAGTTCGTCGTCGATCACGACAACGGATCCCAATGTACTCAGCGGTTCCTCCTCAGTCCGTTGACGAATATGATCCAAAATAGTGTCTTGTTCTACTTGCCTTTGGCCATCATCGTCGTTCTCTATGTCAGAATCTTTATCAAGATTCGGAAGACGGTTGGAAGACGGAACAACAAGAAGTCAACTGGTTTAACGAAACTCAACCTTTCCACCGCCAAGGATAATGAGATGACGAGCGTAAGCGTTTCATCGACATCGCATACAGGTTCATTTAGTGACATTCCAGAGACAGGGAGCAGAGATGACACCATGATATCATCATCTTCATCACGTAATGAGACCAAGGTCGGAAATATTGGCCAAGAAATATCGGTACGTAAACACAGAATTTGCCTCTTATAACACGATAGCAAAGACTATAGTAACTTTGTCCACCACCTATTCTAAAATGAGAATATGACTCAAAATGGTTACATACAAATCTGAGCATGATTTCTGTGTAAAAGAGAATTCAAATTTCTCTTAAGTTATCTCTGTGATCATGTTTTCTGAACTGCATTTACAAGGACATCTTTTGCGACAAATAAATGATAAGATAAGCAGGCCTAAAGATTACAACGAACGATAGGCTGTTTGCTGACAGAATTTTCTCACAAGATATCTTAATATGAATCATTGAGGGATAATTTCCCCGCGCTTTCCCATGTGAGTACGAAAGTAATATGCAATTGTCGCTAAAAGGAAATTTAAAGGTTACGGAACTGTTTGTGTTTGGTGTCTTGTTAAAATTTGAATAGATTCCATTGGAAGATCAAAATCACTCTAAATGCAGGAATAGGTTTTATAGCATGTATATTTTTCGAAGTATAATTATGTTCCTATCAAAATCTACGGCGTTCATGATTTCCTTTCTTTCTATTTCTTTCTATTTCTCTCTTACTTGGTCCCTGTCTGTCTCTCCTAACAACTCAGACAGCAACGTCACATCGCGTGGAATCGATGGCTGAAATGACGAAGGCGACTCGTACTCTCCTTCTCATCGTCATCGCGTTCGTACTGACATGGATTCCGATTAGCGTAATTGCTTTAATCTACAGTATCGAACCTCGACTCATCATACCTGGTCTGCCGATTGATGCTCTCATATTCTTCAGCTATCTGCAGTTCGGGAATAGCCTTCTGAACCCTATATCCTACGCCATGTCCCAGCCTCTGTTCCGTGCCACCATCATCAAAATGTTTTCCTGTAAACGACCGTTGCGGGCCAACTAGCCTTGACAATTCACCTATTTTGTAATACATTTGATATTTCCAAGCAGTCCAAACCATTTTTACTAGTTCGAAACTTGTTCTAACTAGTTTATAACCCAACCACCCCGTTCAAAGACAGTTCAACTCGTCCTCATCTTGGTCTTAGTGCGTTCGAACGCGCTTCTATCGTGCTTTGCAATCCCGTCCTGGTTCGAGGGCTATACAAACCCAGCGCGTTCTTCCTCGTTGATGCTCGACCACATCACGTGGTAACACGTTCCTAGTAGGATCGAAGTACGGCAATTCCGTTCGTAGTACGTCCATCTCGTTTTAAGTACGTTGTCACTCCGTCCAATTACAGGACGGGGAGAATTTTGAACAGGCTCGAAGTTCTAGACCACCCTTCCCTTCCAAGCCAGTCCGAGCCCGTCCACGAAGTCCTTAAAAAATCGTAAATAGTTGCTCATAGGTTCACTCCGTTCACACACAGTTTGAGCCCGTTTGGCAACATTTTCCAGAACGTAGTGAGAACTAGTTTGGTGTGATAGGTGCTTGACTTGAACGTCTTGATTTGCAAAGCCTAAAGCGTTGAAGTTGAACAGGAATGAGGAATGGCGAGAACGCTCTGGGTTTTTATAACTCCCGAGTCAGGGCGGGATTGCACACGCTTTAGGAGCGCATTCGAAACGAGATGAGGAAGAGTTGAACTGCCTCTGAACGGGGTGGTCGGGTTAAAAACTAGTTAGAACAAGTGGCGAACTAGTTAGAATGGGTTTGGACGTATTGGGAACGAGGTAGAACTAGTTAATAATGGGTTTAAACTGACTACAGACTGGCTTGGACTGCCTAATCTACCCGATCTGAACTTAATATGAACTGGCTGTGGACGGGGAACAAACGAGATGGACGGATTGAGGACTGTTTACGAACGAACTAGGATCGTATTATAGACATTTTTTTTACACATTCTGCCCCGACCACAACCCATTTTATGATTTTCTAGGACGGTTCCAGAACGTAGAGAGAACTAGTTTGGTGTGATGGGGGCCCAAGGACGAGTTTTTTTTGTACAGATTGTACATCTGTGAAACGTATCTTTTAAACAGAAGACATTTAAAATGTTCATATTCAGATTTATCTTAATGGTGTCAAAAAGTATCGAATTTTATCCGCCATTAAAATTAGATGTTTGAGTTAAGTCGCGTTATGATGATATATAAATGCGTTCATAACTTAGCAGCACCCTCTTATATCTTAAGGTAGGCTTAATCAATCCTAATGATGTACATGAGCATCATACAAGGCAAATATACAGTGGATGTTTACGTGTGCCTAGACCTCACACTGATTGTTATAAGTGTAGCCCCATTGTTTCTTCTATATTTGAATGGAATTAGCTAAAAAAAAAATCGATTACAACGGCTTCTTCTGTCAATTCATTTATGAGATTATAGTTTAAACAAAGTTGTGATATGTGAATAGCTCAGCCGAGCAAACACTACGTGCATGTTCTGTAATATTAACTTGATTTATTCACATAATTGCGACTAATTCAATATTTTCCTATTGGCATTACAGTTGAACTAGGTTAATGATATATGATTATTTTGGAAACGAGTATTTGTTTGTGCCACGTCTATTATTGCTGTGCTATATCTTCTTAAATGTACTATAGAATTTTATTTTAACTGTAATGTATAAACGTTATACTTATTGGTGAGTGGGCTACCCTGACAAGAGATTAGAAATAGATAAATAAATAAAAATATTGTTCTTAAGTGTATCAATACTATTTTGGTGGTAGTTATTTTATTAGGTATATACACCTCACTTTCATGCCATTGTCGCGATGTACTCATTGGTAAAATAAAGGACATATTTTTTGTATAGATTTAGTTTTGTGAAACGTATCTTTTAAACTGAAGACATTTAAGATGTACCTGTTCAGATTTATCTTAATGAGGTCAAAATGTATCGATTTTTATCCGTGATTCAGACTAGATTATCTTGTTTTTAATTGTATCAACACTATTTCGGTGGTAGTTATCTTAGAAAAGCGCTACTACAATTTGTGAATTAGTCAATATGTAAAAGATCTTGGATATTTGATTCATTTGTGACAAACTCTAATTTACGATTTGGTGTATATAATCCCGAATTTACATGTCTAAATTGCTCTTGTATTAAATCTTATGTTACGTCGTTAACTGCTCTGATTATGCTTATTAATATAGAAGCTTTGCTTGTCTTTTGTTTTATTCTATAACAACGTACCCTAATATAGATTTTCAGTGCGTATGATACGAATGACGATGATGATGATACAAATTGTTGGCCTGTACTTTTTATTGGAATAAAAAATATAGAAATTAAATTAAAATCATGATTACTGTTGTAAGGCAAGTTAGTGTTGGTCAAAATTATAATGATAAATAATAGTGTAGTTTGAGGTGATGATGATGATGTCTTTATGTTTTATTCTATAACAACGTATCCTATTATAGATTTTTTAGTGCTTATGATACGAATGACGATGATGATGATACGAATTGTTGGTTTGTACTTTTTATTGGAATAAAAAATATAAAAATTAGATTAAAATCATGAATACTGTTGTAAGGCAAGTTAGTGTTGGTCAAAATTATGATGATAAATTATAACGTAGTTTGAGGTGACGATGATGATGATGTATTTATGTTTTATGCTATAACCACGTATCCTATTATAGATGTTTCAGTGCGTATGATATGAATGACGATGATGATGATACAAATTGTTGGTCTGTACTTTTTATTGGGATAAAAAATATAGAAATTAGATTAAAATCATGATTACTGTTGTAAGGCAAGTGTTGGTCAAAATTATGATGATAAATAATAATGTAGTTTGAGGTGATGATGATGATGATGTCTTTATGTTTTATTCTATAACAACGTATCCTAGTATAGATGTTTCAGTGCGTATGATACGAATGACGATGATGATGATACAAATTGTTGGCCTGTACTTTTTATTAGAATAAAAAATATAGAAATTAGATTAAAATCATGATTACTGTTGTAAGGCAAGTGTTGGTCAAAATTATGATGATAAATAATAATGTAGTTTGAGGTGATGATGATGATGATGTCTTTATGTTTTATTCTATAACAACGTATCGTATTATAGATGTTTCAGTGCGTATGATACGAATGACGATGATGATGATACGAATTGTTGGCCTGTACTTTTTATTGGAATAAAAAATATAGAAATTAGATTAAAATCATGATTACTGTTGTAAGTTGGTCAAAATTATGATGATAAATAATAATGCAGTTTGAGGTGATGATGATGATGATGATGATAATGATGATGATGATGATGATGTTGATTACGACCATGATGTTCAGTAGGAATGTGAGGTTGATTGTGACTGTGATTAGTTTACAGTCATAGTCATGAAAGGGAAAACGACGACAATAATTTGAAAAAGACTTTTGGGGAAGATTTTGTTGAAAACAATGAAAATACAGATGATTTATATACAATCAGGGGCTGCCAACATAGACAAAAACGGGACACGAGTGCTCTTTACATGACAAAGATAGGAGAACACGGTCACAATACAAAAAGTAGACAATGCCAAAAAGAAGTGAGATATCGGGGGTACAGAAAATAGTACAAAAAGGATGAGCTGCATGTGGGGTTGAGAGGAAGATGAGGAAAGAGAAATGCGCATTAGAAAGGCGATATGCATGAGAGGGCACAATATGAAATATCAAATTAAATTTTGAGTCAGCGAGTAGAAAATGACTTTGTTTCAACAACAACAAAAAAGAAGAAAAAACAATTTTTTAAAAGAAAAAAAGAAAGACATGACGGGTAGAGAATAAATGGGCGATATAGTTCAATGAGGTTTACGAGATTGTAATAAAAACAATTTCAATTTTTTTTCCCTTAAAAATATCAATCGATAGAGCATATTCTATTCCATTATTTAAAGAATTCGACAATGTTGGGGCTGCATTTGGACCAAGTTATTAAACAAAAAATATCTTGAAAAACAGATGGCAACATGTTATTTTTATAATTAGGCCTATCAAACAAAAAAGTCTTTTACCTTAAGAATTTTATTTTCAAAAAATAAAGTGTCTGTATTGGGGCGAAAGGGATAATTACAATTAATACGAATAATTTTATTTTGTCTAATGGTGTTGATGTGTGTTACGCCAAACTAAGAGACCACAATTCAAGTATGGGAGTATCAAAGAACTATAAAAGCATACTTAATAAATTAAAAGGAAGGTATGTCTTTAAATTATTAATAATACCAATATTAACGGAAATAGTTTTACAAATAGCCCTTTGTCCTCCTCCTCCTTCTCCTTTTCCTTCCTCTTCTCCTTTTTTTTTTATTGCTTCTCCTTCTTCTCTTTCTTCTATTTATTCTAATTCTTCACCAGTTTCCTCTTCATAATTTTCTTTCACACACTCTCTCTCTCCATTTATATTTCTCTCACACTCTTCGATCAAGTTATATTAAACTGAAAAGTTGATGTGCAAAGAGTTGGTTCTTTCCCCTGTATATATATATATTTGTTCAAACAGAAATTAGAGGAAAACAGTTCTCCTACTCTCACATGCCTATGGTAAGCTGTTTAATAGCGCCAGCTTTCGGCTCTCATACGCAAACGACATCATCTGAATCTGCATGGTCCGTATTCAGGTAATTATATATAATAAATATATATATATATATATATATATATATATATATTATATATATATATAATATTCCGCTTTCAAGTAAACCCAAAGACCACATTTAACACAGAGAAAACAAATTTATTTCCCTTGTTAGCGTCGGGTTTTAATTTAAATAGAATATACGGGCCATGTTTCCTCCGTATCCATCTCTTTCGAGCCCATGATTCTTTTCCTTTTTTAAACTCAATATTAAACGCGATCGCAAATATTTTCGAAAAATCAGCTCAAAGAAAAATGCAATAATTATGTAGGCCTATATGTCCAGTAGAAATCATATTCGGATTACGTTATACATTATTGTCATGTTCGCACATTTAAATAGGACACATGTCAAGGCTATTGGAATTGACTTAGGGTGATTTATTTCGAAAGTAGATGCTACCGTGTTATTCGGTATACAGTATAGTGTGCAGTGGTGGTTATTTTACCTGACTGCTAAGAAATCATAAATGCTTGTAATTAAGCAACCAGAGGACTGTCTTGTATTCAGTTGTACTCGTCAAAGCATTAGTAGTTAGATAAGTTGATTGTGCAATTTCATCTGGAAGCATGAAATCTGGTACATCTACAATATATATACGTTGGACAGTGGCAGGGGCAGATCAAGCTGGCGGTGAGAAGTGGGGGGATTTGAGAGAAAATATTTAGCGCCGCGTTTCGCGCTTGGGCGGACAGTGGGAGTCTGAGGCGGGATGTCCCCCTCACAAGCTGAAGAAAATCGACTTTTAAACTCAATTCGTGCGATTTGGTGTATACTTTTTGACAAGATATCATTTAAAATCTGTGACTTTTTCCAGCATAAATTTATGATAAACCTTGGATTTCTAGGAGGTTCTCATGGGGAAAAAACTGTATAGGGGCCTACACAGGAAGCGGGAATATTGTGTGCAGTTTGCATGCAGGCGCGTACGCAGGGGGGGGGGGGGGTTGGGGTTTACCCCCCCCCTTGAGTTTTTTATGTGTATGTTTTGTGTATGTTTTTTGTGAAAAAAACCCTCCCCCTTTCGATTTATTTTTCTTTTCTTTTTTTATTAAAAATAAAAAATAAAAAAATTGTCCTCTTACCCCCCCCCCCCCCGCTTATTCAAAGGCTGGCTGAGTCGTTGCGATTTAAAAAAAAAAGTGTCCGGACTTTAGTTTAATTCAACAGCTTTAAACGCATTACAGTAACATTGTGTAACGGCCAGCATGGTAACTTGACGGATGGACCTAAAGCTAGCTGAATCCTGACATAGTATATTACTTTTGAAATAATTAATGACGCCCTAGTGTAGAGCGATCATCGGCCTTTTGTTTAAATCATATAGGCCTGAAACACGATTTAGGGCTAGTTCTGACCTGAAAACGACCCGAATCTCGGAGCATGGCCCTTTCCTTTTCATTCCTTTCCTTTTCTTGAAGAGGAAGGGGGCGGGTCCGTCGATCCCGTCGGGCCCCTTCTTTCGTGTATCCGCGCGTGGACAGTGGAGGCATTCGACCCATTGATCTATTTAAAAAAAAATAGAGATCAGTGATATGACCCCATTCTCCTCGCAGAAAATAGTCATATACAACTCGGTCAGTATAAATCTATAGTAAGAAAAAGTATAACATCTGGTGATTTAAATATTCAGGTGAAGTCATTGCATAAAGAAGGATAACGCGTTTTGACCTAAATTTATTCAACATTCTTTTACAAAAACTATTTTCTATTCGTTTACATTAAAATATCCTAGAATATACTTCCAAACGTCAGGTGAGGTCGTTTGCGTATCCAGTGCCGAAAGCTGGCGCCATATAACAGCAGAATACCTTCCACCGTGGGGAAAGGACCACTGAACGAGTTATCAATATCAGTGAAAACGACTGCAGTTCAAATATCTCATAATAATCTTAAAATAATATTTTGATAATTTTAAAAAAATATTTAAGTATCCCCATCAAACTCGACCCATAGAGACACTCACTCTCAAAATGATGGGACTTATCGCCAATACAACCGTGCTGACATCCGTAAGAGCGTTGTGAGTGTGAGTTTTGATGTGCAAGTTTAATTTTGTAGAGTTGAGACCTACACATTGCTTGGAGAAAAAAAATTGCGGCTAAACGATCGTTTTTGAAGTGCTTTCATATAATCTGTTCAGAGCCAAAAGGGTGTTGACTCTGTGTTAAAAAATATGAGTTATTACTCTTCTGGCTCCAATTAGACGGAACATGTTAAAGAGGAATTTTACCCTGATATTTAGTTAGTTTTAATAAAAGCATAAACATTTTATGAATTTTTAGTACAAAGCAAATGAGATGGGACCTCGTACGTCTTAAAGTTACCAATTTGTGTTTGATCGATTGGATGTTCAAAAATGCATAATTTATTTACATTTAAATAGATTTTACTCAAACTTTCACTGCATGGAATGTTTCTCTCTTGTTTATGCTTGGCATCAGGGTTGACTTCTTTCAATCAGTGATCAGTGATTATTTGCTATCTGTGTCACCAGTGGCGTTAATGAGCAAAACAAAATTGGGGGTCAGAACAAGATCCTTATCACCTCAACTGAGCATAATGCAGGGGCGGCTGAGCGTTTCCCAAAATAAGGAGGGGGAACCAACAAAAATGGGCACTTTCTGGAAAAAGGGCACTTACAAAGAGAAACATCAACAAAACCTACATCATTTTTACAAATTGGTATATACCTCTACATCGTCATGATTGTGACTACACTATACCAAGGGTGATATCAATATTTGTTTCTTTCTTTACGTGTTACAAGTTACTGCTTAATGTAGCAACATACTTTGAAGTTAGGTGTGATGGTCTGAATATTTAAAAATTTAAGATTTGTGAGGTCCCAGTGCAACAAATTACAAATATAAAGAAGACATAAAAACCCTGATGAGTATTAAGCACAATCTATTGAAGAAAGACTGAAAAGTGCTTTTATAAGTAACACAATTATAACATCTATAAATGCGAGCGAGAGTAGCGAGCGAGCTCCAGAAAAAAAAAATGAAAAAGGCGCTCTAAGCCGCCATGAATAAGGGGTGCATGTTATGGAGAAAAGAAAGAAGGCACTTATTAAAAGAGAAAAAGACAGTTGTTAGAATAGAAAATAATAATATAATAATATTCATTTGTAAAGCGCAATAACTATGTGGATATATTCTATTGCGCTGCAAGAGCTCGTAATTGATGTGCTATACATACTATATGAACAAGTGAGTTTTCAGTTTTGATTTAAAATTATCTAGTGATGGGGCTTTCCTTATTTCTAGTGGTAATTTATTCCATAATCTAGGGGCAGCACAGAGAAATGACCGGTCCCCGAGGGTTACTTTGGTTTTATATGGGGGTATTTGCAACATAAATGTGTCTTGTGTACTACGAAGGTTACGACCATGAGTTTGAGACTTGATGTGCAACAATTCAGTAACGTAACTAGGAGTTTGACCATTTAGAGCTTTGTAGACTATCGTTAATATTTAAAATGTAATTCTCTGGCGAATTGGCAACCAATGTAGTTCCTTTAGAAGTGGAGTTATTCGAGAGAATTTTGGGAGGCTGCAAATTAGTCGTGCACATGTATTTTGGACCCGCTGCAACTTGGAGATTTGTGAGTCTGGCAATCCATACAATAAACTATTACAGTAATCTAGTTTACTAGTAACACATGCATGCATGATAGTTTTCATGCTGTCCTGATCAAAGTATTTTCGAATGCGTCTCAAATTATAAATCTGCTTTTGCAGATAAATGGCGCTATACAAATGCTGTTCATCATCATCATCATAAATCATGAAATAGGCTGATTTGCATATTTTAGTGATATGTGAATCCATATTCAGGTGGGTATCAAAAGACACACCTAAGTTTCTAACAGTATCAGATGGGGTTATGGTTGAGTCACCAACTGATAAACTACGCGACCTAAATTTAGAAACCTGGCGTGGAGTACCAATGACCAAAAGTTCTGTTTTGTTATCATTTAACATCAACCTGTTTTGCAACATCCAAATCTTAATATAAACAACACATGATTCTAATTCAGAAATACAATGATCTTCAGCCGGTGTGTTAGGACAGAAAGATAGGTATAGTTGGGTGTCGTCTGCGTAGCAGTGACAACTAATACTAGGAAACTCTGTATGGATATTTGTAAGGAGTCTGCTTGTATACAAGGTAAACAACAGAGGGCCTAATCGCGACCCTTGAGGAACGCCAAAAGGCACATTGAATACATCAGAGACAACGTTATCAATTTCAATTTTCTGTTTTCTATCTGACAAGTAAGATTCAATCCATTCGATAACCTTGCCATCAACCCTAAAATGGCTTCTTAGAGTTTTCAGTAAAAATGAGTGATCTATTGTGTCGAAAGCACTGCTCATATCAAGGAGAAGCAGCAGAAAAGGTGCTGGTGTCAAAGTAAAAAGGGCAATTATTAGGGCCTTCAGAGGTAAAAATGGCAATTCCTGCACCTGAAAGGGACACTCAACAGAAATGAAAAGAGGCACTTGTGAGAATGGAAATGGGGAATCTGTTGGAGGAGAAGGGCACCTATTATATGTTGATAGAGGCATATCAGATGTTAAAAGGGGCATTTTAAAAAGAGGGAGGGAATCTTATAAAAGAAGGAAAAGGGACACTTATCAGAGGTGAAAAGTGGCATGTCAGAGAAAGTGAAGGGGGTTCTTATTAAAAAGGGGAATTTCTCGGCGCACATGAAAAGACGTACTCACCAGAAATGAAAAGAGAGAAAAAGGACAGTTATTCGAAAAGAAAAGGGGGCACTTGTCCTATGTAAAAAAAGGGGCTTTTGTGGGTACCTAAAAAAGTTGGTGGCACACTGCCCCCCCCCCACCCCATCGGGAGTGCCGCCTCTCTAAAAATTGGCAAAAATGAGAGAAAAAAACCGGAAAGTCAGGTCATTTCAGCAACATTTATAAATCAATGTTATCGAATTAGAAAGGAACCACGTTTTAATGTTATGGGGGGGGGGGGAGAGGGCCAACTGCCCCAAGCCCCCCTCCCCATTAGTACGCTAGTCCCATAGCTTGGAGGTCGTTGGGGGCGACAATGAAATGGACCTTGAGACACAGCTTAACCTTGTTCTGTATGAAAAAGCCAGGAGGCCATTCCGTTTTTATCACACGCAAGTAATTATGACGGAGCAAATGCTTAATACATTGTTTTTACATCGAAGCCAATAGCCAATATTATGCTGCTAATTGGATTTCGATGGCTTATTCCGGCAATGTGGAAGAAAACCTTCGCACGTTACTTTGTCATCATTGTCCTTGGTCATAATGATGACGATATTACGCTTAATTCATATGCTTAGTCGTATTCCTCAATGTATATACAGGTAAGTGGAAATTATCGATACAAAGATTACACTACTATTCGACATGTACATTCCCTATACACAAATCCGAGAGATGTCAGCTTGTCTCACAAAGAATAGACACTTTAAACACTGATACTTCTTTTATCATTTCTGTTTCTTTAAATAATAATGATAATAATACATGAGATTTACAGCGCCATTATCCATTTTAATTAAATGTTATCGTGCTCAATAATAGATGGTTACAAACCAATAATTTATACTTGCAAGTTAGTAAAGTGAGCAAACAAAGAAATCTTTTTTTTGGGGGGGGGGGGGGGCGGGGGGGGGAGGGCCGGTAGCTATTTGTATATATCAAGAGTGTCCTTCCCACTGATCAAAAAAGTAATTAGGTTGTTGATAATAATTATTTTAGCTTTGTTCATACAAGTTAATAGTATTTCATTACGTCATATTCAATAGGATATGACCTATCCTACAGTTTAATACTTCAGAACATTTTAGAGAATACATGCGAGGCTCATCAAAATGAATACAGTCTCCATGAGACTGGTTCTAGATTTTAATTCATCGTTGTAATGTATTCATCTGAACCTTCATGATTTATTTCATATGAATGAATGATCTATGTGCTCCATCTTCCAGTTGTCATTAATTTATGTCGCCATTTTTCATGGTTAAAGGGGGTGTAGCATGGCAAATACTGGTTAACCTCATCTACGAATTCGTTTGGACAACTGTACGTAAACGAATGGACTTGATTAACGGTCAGCGCGCTAGCGTTAGCGAAACAGACCGAAGTTGTCCTCATGCTCCGGTTTCGCATATGCTGCACGCACGTGAATACTGCGGTGGCGTCGCCCGTTTCTCGTCTTATACCCGATTGGCCTCGAGTCAGGCCACGGGAAAGACACGTAGTCTCATCATGCTACATCCCCTTTAACTGTCTATATTCCTAAAATAATGAAATATTGAAAATAAACTGCGCAACATTATTCCGATTACAACATAATTATTTGTATTAATTTTATCATTATTATAATTGTTGTTATTATTATATTCATTATTATGATTATTATGATGATGATTATTATTAGTACTGTCATTCTTGTTATCATGATATCTATAGATGGAGCCACTCATACGGACGATAATGTACTGGATTTCTTTCCTTCAACTGACGGGGATGAATTAAACGTATTATGGGCCCATGGAGTCAACAGCATCGCAGACCTCAACCAGAGTCTCTCGGGTATAGGCTACTATGAAATATGATATTAAACTAAAGTCACCCAGACTGAAAATTTATTTCAGTGTGCACACATGCGGAAAGTATAGTACCTCCACAAAGGAGTTAATCAAGTGAAGGTTGAACATCTGTTGGTCAATTGAAGCTGGTGTCGCCGGAACCACTGGTCCGTCTCCGTGGACTTGTGAATAAGGCATTGGCGTTCTAAACCAGTGACCCAAATTTCAGCAATTAGGAACTTTGGTTTAAGCTACGCAACCCTTATTTTCTCATTTCCTTTCGCATTATATATCGCACTGTATATAAAATTCTCGCATTATCATAACCTGAAGAACTTTTAAAGGTATAGACCAGTTTGTGAAACGCTCCCCTCTCAAAAAATGAATTGGAAGCTCTTACACACAGTGAAATAAAAGGTGTTCTTGGGGAGTAAAGCGAAATAGGAAAAATAGGGCGTACCCTATTACACCTTTTAGGGAGTAAAACTAGAAGATACGCAAGGGTGTACAAAATAGTCATTTGAGGGGTGTAATTTTACACCCTATTTTGTGAGTGCATATGCGCATGCGCTACAGCAATGGCGTATCGTGTCGATATAGGGACTGCCTAATGAAGAAAAATTTGCATAATTTACATATTTTAGTCATGTTGGGGGAATTATCATGTTTCATTTGGGTATATTATTTGTGTGAAAGTTATCTGATCAAGAATAAGGGGTTGTACCCCTTTTGTACCGAAGATTATATTTGATAAGATTTAATGAAATTAGCAAAAGTGTTGTTTTACTAACTAGTACATAATTGCCTTTTTATACGTGTAAGTAAAGGGACGATTTTCGAGAATGCAGGATTGTGTATTTAGGTGTTTCCACTACATTTGATCCATCCAGGCAAGCATGCACTTGTGTTGAGTTCACACTAACTGTTGTTAAGGTAAGCATTAAAGCTTTTCGACATATAACTCGTGGAACAGGTGAGAGAAGTGAAACGTAGACAAAAGGGAAAGGTGATTACGAAGCATGGATGATTTATTGCTCGTGGGATGATCAATTGGGTGATGCTGTGCATAAGAAGGGTGTAGATTTACTCCCCACAGGTTGTGGAATCGTATCATATAGCTCCGTTTAGTCTCATTTGAGAACGCCCCCTATCGGTAGAGTCCAGCGGCCTACCATGTTCACCCACCCTAATTTCATCAAAATAGGTCGCAAGCTCGCCATTGCCTATATAACACATGTACAACAAGTCGAATTTTGGACTCAATTTACCACGCGATTGTAAGATTATAGGTCAAGCACACGAAGGATAAGAAGCATGAATTATCATAGATCAGTTCTGCTTGGTTCATTATGTCCACTTCAGCCAACCCCCACCGTACTTTTTTCCATTTAGTATAGGCAAACATTTTGCCGAGGTAAGCAAAAACATGAATATTCATGACACACCATGGACTATTCGATTATTAAGAGAGGGGTGCAATTGTGCACCACATCGAACCCCCCTACTTTCGGTCAAGTATTTCTTTGTATTATGTAGTTTGGTAGGTTTATGTTACTAACTGTTTAATTATCAAATATAAATGATAGTTTAAAGATATGGAAAAGGTTCTTGTATTTTATATTTAGCAAAGCAATCTCACATACGAAATCACTATCAAGTGTCGTCTGATCCGCCGATTGCCGTCTTCTGTATACGTTCTATAGACGGCGAACTAGCTACGTTTGTGCTGGCGGAAATGAGACAACCGGAGCAATATGTAAAATTCAACCCCACGGGTGTAAATTTGAACTCATTTTTCATGAAAATGGAACCAAAAGATGTTAATTAAGTACCATTGGGTGCAAATTTCACTCCTTAAGAGGAGTAAAATCATAATTCTAGTGGGGTGTAAATTTACTCCCTACATTGGGGACTGAATTTACTTTCTGAGGGGTATCACTTATGCGACAAGCATTTACTCCCTGAATCTAAACCTCATTTTCTCTGTGTGTATTACCAATCATGTGAAAGAATATGTTTTGACTAATACGTGCATATGGAAACGTTGTATCATCCGCTCAATCTGACTTGCGTGCATAGTACGAATAAGCATTTTTCCATGAAGAAGTGAAGTTTTCTAAAATGTGCGTTTCTTTCC